ATGTCCGCGAAATTCAAGTACTGAGTATCTCTCGCTCACTTACAGATGATTCCCAATTATTACTGTAAATTAAGAAAATGTGACGATCTTATCGAACAATAAGTGAAGATCTCTACAACATCCATGCATGGAGAGTCGCTTTACTCTTAAAAATATTTAAATTATTTAAAAAATATTACAAGACATTCAACTAAGTCAAGAGTTGCCACTTTATTTAAAAAGTGAAAGTATTACAAAAATATAGTTAAATCGTCAAAGCCTTGACCATATTCGTATAATCGCGCACGCGCTAACTAAGCCATTGCTATTTATACAGCTTCAGTACAGTGCTTATCCGTAATTAGGTGCAAGCCAAAATCACACTTAGCAACAATACAAGTATACTGCATTTAAGTGACGCAAACAAACCGAAAATAATATTTCGGAAAAATAAAATGAACAGATAAAAGCTTAAAATATAGAAAACTTGCTTGGCACGTAGCGCCCGTATATTAGGTCACACACGCTGCACACACACACACAAACATACACACAGACATTTGTTTGCGTTCGTGTTTCCTAATTTTTAATATGTTAATTCGCTGCATTAACAAACGTCGTCCGTGTCTATGCAACATGCAGCGCTGTGTGGCACAGTTCTGCGTTGCTGCGTTTTCATAATGGACCTGTTTTTTACACACATACATACATACATGCATACAAATGTTCATTGGTTTTTTACATTTTTTTCCAAATGATCCAAGCAAAAATGGCCGCCGCGGCAAATTGACGAAATTTATTTGCTGCATTCATTAACATCAATAAATGTGTTGAGGCACTTTCCCCGCGCCCTAAAACAACAAAACGCTGTACGTTCAGCGACAGCTAAAAATACAATATCATTACAACAGCAACCAAGACAAAGCGTCACCTGTGCGCCGAGTGGAAAGTGTTGAGCGCTGACGCTACTTTGTTATAAGTGGGTAGCTACATAAGTGTTGTTGTTGTTGCTGTTGAATTTTTGTGTGGCAGCAACGAAGCGAATTATGCGTAACAGCAATCCATGAAATTCATGCAAACTAGCGGACGGACACACTTGTCCAAAATTTTAGTAGCCAAAAGAAATGAAAATAATAACAACAACAACAAAACACACCAACAACGGTAGAAATAGTCAAAGCAACAAGGTTAACTTATTTCAAGCGCCGTTGCAGCGACACTGTGCTATAAAATATATACGTATAAAATTTGGTTAAAAAAGAGAAAATGCGCGAAAGATATAAGAAACAAATAAAAAACGATCAAAATTTAAAAAGCAGCGTAAAAATCGATGTGGTTTCGTATAAGTATGTATGTATGTTGAAAAAGCAGGCGTGCCACAAACAGCGCAGGCGATGTCACTGACGCCGCGTTATGCGAATGAAGCAATAATACGTTTCGACATTCCGACAGTGATGTTCAATGTGAGGCAAGAGCAAAGTGCCAGGCAACATACTTAACACAGGGCTAGCAATCGATATGCAGAGCGTGCGTAGCTAAAATTGGCTACGAGCAGCGAGAAATCGGCGGTGGAAATTTATTAAACGCAAGCGAAATGGTAAAGAAACGCTGAGAAGTTAACGCGCAGGGGTAACTATGGTTTCTATGGTACAGCTATATGCTATAGTAGTGCAATATCGGCATTTCCGACATCTGAACAGTTTCTTGTGGAGAAAAATGCGTATGCTAACTTTCAGGCCGATATCTCAAAAGCTTAAGCACTACTTCGCGTCTATCTTGACAGAATTTGGGTTTGAAACAAATCATTAATCTTCAACTTAATTTGAAAACAACTACTAACCCACAATCTTCAATTATAGTAGATACTTTATTAAGCGAGACAATTATTTATTCAGACTGTAACAAGATCTCAGCACTGGATTTCAAAGAGCTTGTAATAAGCCCTCACGTGTTACTAGCTTTTTCTAATCGCCCTTCACATACACTCATCTAATATATTTTTCCATGCGTCCAATACCGTAAAATATTATTTTTCCAGAACTTAACGTTAGAGGACTTCAGTGAAATCAGTAAGCTTAGCTAAAGTGCGTTTCAAGAATACCACTACAAAGTCAACAACAACAACGGAAACGGTTTTAGTTGCCTAAGATACTATTAACACGCTCGTTGGAAATACATGCATTCTTAAATCTCTCATAAACCTCAACGTTGGCAAAACTATGGTTAAAGCCTCAGTAAGCCAAATACACTTTCTATAAGCTTTAACACTCGTTTGTGTAGTATCATTTCTACAGCATTGCCACAAGAAGAGCAAGCGCCAATTGGGCGAAAAAATTGTAATTTCATAATTTTCCATTAACACCAAAATGCTATCAGCGCATGAGAAAAACGAAAAAAAGGAAAGACTAAAAACAAAAAAAAAAAATTACAGTAACAACAGCAATCGCAATAAAACGGAAACCACAAGCAAACTGAAATTCGCTAATCCCGCACAAAGGACCAAAAATGGGCGCACACATACAAATATACACACATATTTTAGGCATGTGTGTTTGTGTGCTGCTTTGTTATATTTCTTTTTCAAAGCGGATATATATAATGTCATGTGTACTACAATTACTTATATGCCCCACCGGAAAACTCATTAACTAAGTGAGCATTTATTGCCTACTCAACGCCATAAACACGCGCAGCATGTTGGATTCTCCGTTTCAAGGACTAAAAGATTTCCAGAGTGGTTAAATAAAAGAACTATATACATTTGCTCGTCAGTATGAGCTTAAAATATGATCAGAAACTGGCTGAAAAAGGTGCATATATGCTTGGACATGTGCTAAATATTATTTAAGTTAGGTAGTACAAGGGTGCATATGTGCATAGGCATGGATATATAGCGGCAAATGGCATTTTAAGGTAACCACATTGGTAATTGGTAGTGCAAAGAGCAAATGCTCAGCAATAAATTGGCGTAACCCGTACGGGCTTACGTTATGTGATGGCGCGCCATAAAAGCATGGCTAAGCTCAGAGTTCTGTATCGGCTATATGTATTTAGTAAATTACTAGCGTTCTTATTTTGGATTACTGCCAAGGGATGATGGTGCCACAATTCGTTTCCTACACTTTTCTATTTTCACAAATGCCTTAATAATGGATTTCATTAAGCTTTGGACTTTACTAGGCAACAATAATTACAAATAATGCGCTTGAAACAGAGACGCGGTTAATGCAAACGAACCCCCAACCCCGATCGCCGTCTATATGTGTGTGTATGTATATACCAAAGAATGGTGAAAGCTTCGACACGGGCGCGGCGAACCTCAAGAAAGTTCAGCAAATCCTTAAATATATTAAAAAGCCGGCAAACAATACAACCTGAAATTAAAAACACGAGAAACTTCAATCAGCAAACAAACAGCCGAGCAAACAATGCTTGCAAACCAGAAATAAATGCTAATGAAATAAAGCGAAAGAGAAATAAAAAAACTCGACAAATACACTCACAAATTAAGGCAAACATCAAGGACTCAACGGCCGCTCAAACAACCCAAAAACGGCGAAGTAGAACCTGGAAGTTGAGATCGAATAGACGAAAATAGCAACAGAACCATCTACATTTCCACCAACACTTCACGCTCGCTTTTAGTACTTGCAATAGATTTGAATATTTATGCCTATTGCCTAACCAGCCTCCGCCACCCACCTTCAGCACTGCGCATTTCGCCGAAAATGAGCGTAACTAAGCAATAAAAAAGCACAAATCTAGGCGCAGGGCAGGTCAGCCTGTAAATTAGGATTAAGTCGACGCAACAAAGGAAACCCCCTGACACCAACAACAGCATAATCAGCATCTGCAGCGCGCGGCACAATCATCACTTGCCAATGCCAACGGCAAACGGTTGTGCCAAAGTGTTTTTCCGGGCAGTGCTCGTAATTAGAGAAAAAATCAGCACATTTCCACACCAAAGTGAAGCGTAAATTAATTGGATTAAAACCGAGTGAAAGCCGTGTATATTGTGAAGAGGTCGCTTTTATGCGGAATTGCAAATAAATAATGGGTGAAAGCGCCCATAAAGGACTAACAAAGTGCAGGGAGTGTGCGGCAAAGAAATTTTAATCACCTTAGCGAGGCACTGTGCCCTGTTGCACGTGGCGCATTCAAGCAAGCAATCGCTTGTAGTTCTGCAAATCTTTCCTTTTAATATTCTAAGAAATCTACAATTTTCCATACTTTTCAATGAGCAGTTTCTCTTAATAAAGCGCTGGATTTAAAATGCATTTTGAAATAAAGTTATTCTTACTCATTGAAGCATTGCAGCTTAAACTAACGGCATTTTAAATGGAAATTACGTGGAAACTAGTTGCTTCAGCAGTGCGTTTTGGAGGCCGGATTTTTGTATGAAAACATAAAAAATAATTTATTATTTTATAGTTATTGCAAAATAGACAGAAACTGTCAAGGCCTAAACTACATTAATTTCAACAAACATTTCCTTAAATTTGACCCTAACTATTAAGGAATTGTACTTTTTATATTTTTTTAATACAAATTATTATTATCGCCCTCATACCTCCCACTCGAGTAAATAATCATGCAAACAACTTATTTAATTTTCCATACACTCGTCAAGTATCACTTATTTTAATGCGCATCTGATGGAAAGTTCCATAAGATATGTTGGGAATACTTACTAACTGTCTAACAATAGATTCCAACGAAAATAAGTATTTTGACAATTTTCATGAGAGCGAGCACGACCTTCGTAATCATAATTCATCTGGTCTTACTCATATAAAAAATGTGTTTCCGCCTCCAAGATTAACAGGCTATCATTATATAAATTTTAATATATACACTTTGAACACATATTCTTACAGCAACTCCTGCGATATAGAATTCGTTATGATTTTACAGAGTAAAGTTTCTAAACACTTTTCGATTGGGATATGGAGTTATATTGTACATTCTTCAGCACACAGCGTAGAACTCTACTAGAATAATAGAGCTAGTATCCCCTTTTTGTATAGATATTTTTGATTTCGAATGTAGACTAAAGTTCTACAAAAGTTACAGCTGTAAATGCAGGTTCTTCTTATAAGGTTAAAAGTACATCTTAGTATTTATAGTAGGACTGAACTGACACCGAATAATTTGGAACATTTAAAATATGAACATTAATTGTGAGCTTGATCGCTTTTTTCTAATCACAAATGGAAACTACTGCTAAGGGTACATATGTACATATGTGCCTGTGGGTTGTGGTAGTGTTCACTATTACTTAACTGATCACCTAACCAAAACTTTTTGGCACCAGTGATTGATTTGCAATATGAACTCCGACCCAACTTCACTGTCATAGGTCTTTTGGATTTTGTAAAGGTTTTTGTAGTTATTAAGACTTAAGGCAGAGCTTTGCCACTTGCAATTGTCTAATTTTGCAGACTGCAGCTGACTGTAGAATATTCTCAACTAATAATTTTTGAAGCCTAATTTCTTCCTTCATTTTAAACACTTTCATACGATTATCTTAGCAAAACCATCTGCAGGCCATCCCAGCACTCAAATTTATGATTACTCACGAAGACTAGTCAACAGATTTGGATTTGTTTCAATAATATTCCTATCAACACAAGTCTTTATTTGTTTACACGCAAAATTCTTATAAAAATGAAAGTGTGCTGGAATTCTCCGAACTCGCTTCAACTTTACCTAAGCGCGGACATGGCCAACAAAGCGAGTGTTGTGCAGAAAAAAAAAACGTTTGAGCGTTCAAAAAACCTGTAGAATTGCTCAATAGATAAGCGCTAACAATCGTAAAAGCGACGACAACGGTGCAGAAGCCAAGGAGAGTAGTGAAAAAAAAACAAAAAATACCAACAGCAATGATAATAACAAAATAGCAACATTGGGTACAAAAACAACAAAATAGTCAAATAATCTTGTATGTAGTAGACAAAATAATAAAAATGTATGTATTCAGAGTAGTGAAGGCAAGAGTGGCAGTGTCAGGAGAGCGGCGGTCAATTGAGGTGCGACTTGCCTATTACTCGTCAACCTTAACGTCGCTGTCAACGACGCAATCACCATGAATGTGACAAACTAATGTGCCAGCATTAGGCAAAGTTATTTGCAGTTGTTTTTGTATTTTGAGTTTTTTGGAGCCGATCGCACACGAACGAGTGCGACACAGCACCTAAAAATATCGGTTCGAATGTCTCTCTAATGCGTCAGAGCACTTCACAATGCAATTTCGCTGCTCATAAACGCCAAACGCCAAACACCAATAACAACAACATCAAAATAAGAGCCGAAACTAATTTATTTGAGGAGCCGACCGCAGAAACAGTAAAAGCACAACCGCAAGGCAGCGCCGTTACCGCAGCTGCGACGGCAATGAAAGTAATGGCAGCAGCGCGCTGCCACACTCAGTACAAATGGTAGCTTTGAAGGGCAGCAAATGCAACAACAACGATCACAGCAAGCCCGAGCGTTACGGAGCGAAAAGAAATTAATGAAAAAAAGTAACAACAACAACTTTTTGGCACATTAAATATTGAGTTTTGTCAACACACCGAATGGCGACGGCGAAAACACACATAAACCGCCCGCGTCCCCTCCGCTAGCGCCCACACAAAGCCCATACACAGCACGTTTTTGTTTTTTGCATGCGTGTGTGTGTGTGGGCATATACAAGCTCACGCTTTATGCGTTGTTGGATCCACATTGACGACAGACCAGATCCAGTGGCAAGTCAATTTGACTAACAGGCTAGTCGGCCAGCTGGCTAGCTGACTGACTGACAAAGCGAGCCACCAAGTGCCAGACACTCTACACGCTTGTCAGTGTGTGGCGTGGTGTTGAAGACGGTGGTGTGCAAATAAGCGAAGGGGACGGACGTGACGTAAGGTGGCACAGGCGAGTATTTTTGATAACCGTTGCGCTTGACACATGACAGCAACAGCAACAGCAACGGCGGCAGCGGCAGAGACAGTGACGGCGACATCGTTGGCAGCGACAGCACAGTGGCAAATAGCTACATTGTGAGTATGGAAATCATAACACCAACTCACACTTATGTAGTTACGTTACTACCAATGCTTCAGGTACTCTTCCGCAAAAGATGTGCTGAGCGGCGAGCAAAGTTGGAGTGACAGCAACAAATGCTAGCGCTGCGATTGGAAGACCCTGAGAGAAGTGTGTTAAAGTGTTAGTTTCGCATGCGATATACAGGGTATGCGATTTCGTTGCGCGGGAGCAGTGCACCGCCATTTTACTGTATTGTTTATTTGAGACGTCCAAAGCTACTAGAATGATTAACATGATAACTAAAACATTAGAGCTGACATTTAGCTTCAAGCGGCCTCAATTACATTGCAAATTCTGAAATTATAACACTAAAAACTTATTTTAGAAGAGATCGACAAGCCGACTAAAGAGCAGCGTATTACAAAAACGCTCAACATAACCTCAAACTTTTATACAAGTTGTAAATACCATAGATACAAGATTTCATTACTTATTGTTAGGTTTTAAATGAGCTAGTTCAATAAATAAGTAAGAAGTTAAATAATAATATGCAATATGACCTCAAAATTGTATATATAAAATTGAAAAAGTATACATCTTATTGGTAGTTTCTACAGTGTGCAACAAATTGAATGACCCTGTATTACATATGCTGATGCATTCAGCGATACAGTGTTTCGCTTACAGTCTCAAATCTCTTCAAGCTTCACACTTAATGGATTTCATATATGGTGCATTTTCCTCAAATAACTCTCAAGGTCAGCAATATCACAAGGAAATAACTTTTAATAGCGTAAAATTATATATTGTTTTGGTACTTATTTTTACAAATCTAAAAATCGAAACAATGCCAAAAATTTAGTGGAAATTTTACTGGAAATTTTTTGTTTTGTTTTGAGTATACTTAAATATAATTCGTATTTGAGAAATCCACAACATGCATACCGAAAAGGTACTAGGCAAAGCGGCTGACGTGAGAGTAAAGAAGGCTGACATAACTGACAATTGGTTGCTCAGGTCGAATACCGGCAAAGGCAAGTTAATGTTAAAGGATGAGTTATTATATATTAGTGAATTCTATGCGGCAAACTTGAGATCGCACTTTTTACATAACAAATCGATTAGAGAATCTTCCATTTGTCAAATAATATCCCGATATACATACATATGTAAGTCTCAAATAAAAGAGAAGGTCATCAAAACCAGAAGAATTATGAAACTAGACTAGCTTTTCTTATATTCTACAACTGTAAGTATATTGCACTGTTTGGTCCAGAATTTCGGAGCGATCCCACTGTACCAAGTCATAAATACCGTACTTAAAATATATGCGAACGTGTGCGAGGAAAGGTGATACACAGGCGACGGGAGGTTATGTGTTGCGCTGTATTTGCTTTGGATGAAGCCGCAACTGGTGGCGGCATTGCTAGAGCTTGTGGTGGTCACTGATTACGGCTAGGTGAGAATGTGACGAGAGATGTAGAAAAACACAAATAGAAACAGCGATTCAAAGCAAGTGCTATGGGCGAGTTACTTTGCGCTCGCCGCATGCATACGAGTATATATGAGTATATATGTATGGATGTATGTGTGTATGTGCGCTACAAAGCTGCTACAAACACATAAAATGTCCAAGTTTTTGTTGTTGAATTTTATTGCCGTTGACTGGCATTGCTAATGCTGTGTTTTCGAAAACTTGACTGCTTCGTTTGTTTTTTTTTTTTGTTGTTTTGTTATTGCTGCAAGTGATCGCGCTCGCGAGTAAACACACAGCACACTTGAGAAGCAATAAATATGGAAGCAAAAACACTCGCACACGAAACACACACTATTTGGACGGACATATGTGGTGAGCGCAGCAGCAAGCTGTGGGGGCGGAGGACAGTGAAATACGAAAAAATGCGCAGCAACAAAACTCAGCTCGCCAACGCCGCCACATGTCAGAAAATGGAAAACAACAAGAGAAACAAAGCGAACGCGCAACAAAAACAAACAACAACAAAAGCAACATATACGAACACCAATACATAGGCATATAGTAAATATATATGTATATATAATATATGTACATATATAAAAACCACAGAGATAACAACAGCAATAAAAGCTGCGGCAAGCAACCTTAACAGCAACACAAACAACAACAGCAACAAGTGCGCTGTACAAATGAGTAACGCAAACATTAACGGAACGGCAGGCCACGAAAAAAAATTTGGTATTTTGTCGTATTTTCCGATTTTTAACGATTCAAGCAACCCGCAACTGCAACTACAACAATATTAATGGCGGTGGAGACCCCGAAAAAGCTGACACAATCGCGTACGCGCACACACAGTCAAACATTTTTGTTTTTGTACTATAAAATACCCGCACAACAACAACACGTGCATGTATGCAGGCAGGCTTGCATGTGGAGACACCGACATAAGTACATACAAGCGTACATATTTACATGCATAATTACGTACTCATGCGAGGCAGCAGTGGTGCTGGTAACAGTTGCCACACCACAAAAAGCACGCCAAGGAACGACAAGGCGACACGCGGCGGCGGCAGGGCAAAGTAAATGCGAGGCGGAAAGAGAAAAGCACAGCTGAGCAGCGCTTGTGGTTGCCAGTCGTATTGTCGTTGTTGTTGTTATTGTTGTTTTCGTAAGCGTTTTTGTTGGCGCTGCTGTTTTGTGATTGCCTTAATTGTTGTTGTTTTAGCTTTACTCACTGATTTCGCTGTTATTGTTGCAGTTGCTGTTGGCCGACTTATTTAAATTTCACAGTTGTTGTTGTTGCTGTGACCGCTGCGCCGCGCTGCAATGCAATTGTGTGACTGCTAGCCGCCGCGCGCTAATACAAAATTCCAATTGAATGTAGTTGCTGTTGTTGTTGACGTGGCTGCTACTCAACTTTGTGACTGTTGCTGCTTTTCGAGTTGTTAATGCCAGTGCCGTTGTTATTCCAAAGCTCCAGCATAAAACGGAAAAACACAAACTGAAATCCGCGTACACACATACACACACATGTTAAACACAGCCTAGCGAGCAAAGGGCAAGAAGCATGCGAGTATAGCGGGAGCACAAAGAAGGCGAACAAGAGAGCCAATTTGAAGCTTATGAGCAACGAGGGGCGGACGGCGCCTAGCGGTGAGCACTGACTGGTGAATGGAAAGTGGCGAACGGTGGGGAATAGTGTAAAGCAGCACTAACAAAAACAAATACCTATCAGTTGAAGTGGGGCGCGGGGTAGGGGGATAACGCGCGTTAAGGTAACAGTAGTAAGAGTTACTCAGCGCTCAGTGGGAGAGTGTAAGGTGCGTTAGAGACGACCGCGGAGGCTACGAGTACGGTTATGGCAGTGGCAGTGGTGTTGACAATTCGTTGTGACACAGTGAGGCAATTGAACGGTTCGCGGTGTCTGCAGCCAAAAAACGCATAACAGTGATACTACAAGTATATTTGCATATTAATTAGCGAAAATATTCATTAAAGCACAAATATCTCGGAATTAGTGTTAAGAATCAGTGCGCGCACATAACTACATATGTACTCATGTATATGTGTATATGTAGATATGTATTTGTTGTATAATAACAAACAAAAAGCAAAAATAAGTTAGAACGTCAGTCAGCTAGTAAGGTGGTTAGTCAGTGGCAGTGTGAGCAAGTAATCGCGCGTCAATGGTAGCCGCGCGGCAGCAGCAGCAGTAACAAAAAGCAGCACTTAGTGCGCGCCCGACAAGCTTTAACACATAGTCGAAACAACAATAACAAGCAATAGCGCCGATAGCAAAGACGCCAGCACCACAAGCATACAAGCGAGTGGAGCAAGTACAACGAGCAGCGGCCAACAACGCGTTCGCAGCTGCGATGACAGCGACGGAGACGACGGAGCATGCCACACACAGTTTAAATATGTGAAATTAGTACAAATCGTGATTTCAACGGTGAACGACGAACGTACGGCGGGCTGCACACAACACAACACGTTGTTGCGGAACGGACGCGCAGGCAACACACCACGGGAAAACAACAACAAAAAGTAAGCGAACAAGCTAGCAAGCTATCAGGCGAGTAAGCAAACAAACAAGCACAAAGCCAGCCAAGCCAAAGTAAGCAATCGAGCGAGCGAACGGGCCAGCAACCACGAGCGGTGGAGGAGAAAGAGCGAGTATAGCAACAAAAAGCAACAATAAGAAGAACGCAAGTAGTGCTGCAGCCAACACGAAAGCACAGTAGTAGCAAGAGGAGCTAAAATAATAACAACAACAATAACAATAACAGCGACAACAACAAAAATTGCTCCACGCCACAAAAAAAAACTGCAAACACCTCCAAAAGCACCAGTGCATGCCAGGCAAGCAGATATTCGGACAATCAGCTCAGCCAGTTTGCCAGCGAACACAATAAAAACAAGAGTAAAAATACAGCTGACGGCTGCACGACACGACGTACGAGCTAAACATCGCGCGCGCACATATTTACGGCACACATCACACACGAGCGTACAGGCTAATCGAATCGAACGAGGCTAATGCGAGGCGAGTTGGATTTATAGGCGAAGAGGAAGGAAACGGCAGTTGCAGCGCAAGGCGAAGGCAACTCCACGGTCACGAAGCTACTAATACGACTGCACGACTAAAATCAAGTCAACGCAACAGCAATAGCAACACGGCATCACAGGACACTTTGCCAACTTCCCCCATTCCTAATCCCAACCCTGAACACCCGCAGTCGCGGTACCACCCCTCACTCTTAACCGCACCTACTAGTCGAGCTTTGCGGCGACGCCTAACACGACAGCAGCAAGTGAACGCAATACCGAAAAAATTGCAGGTATCAGCAAAAACAGATAAGCGAAACGACAGCACCAAGAACTCCACCACCACCAACACCAAAACCAACACCAAAGGTAACGGTTGTACTAATAACAGTACACCACGTGAAGGTGACAATAAGTGTCCCCTGGCGGTTTTGACAGTCAGTACTGTAGTGTCAGCGCTGGCGAGAACGAAAAGGCAACGCGGTAGAAGGCGGCAAGTAGCGGGTACGCGTACTGTAATCGGTTACAGTTTTGGCAAAAGAAAAACGGGCAGTGCCTTAGAAAAAACGACCACCTGTACAACTAATAATAATCGTACAGTCGTTAATAGGAATCGCGTTTGGAAAAGCAACAATACGGAATCGCCAAACAACAACTTATCAAACGATTCGACAACATCTATAACTGAAGTAATTGAAAAATCATTGAAGACGTCGCCCGCAACGGAATCGCAGGTATTGGAGCAGAGGGCCAGGGAGCCTAAGGTTGATTCTGACGCTGAGGAGGCGACGGCGACGACCGATTCGGCTTTGTGCCCGCCCAATACCGATAAAGCTAACAACATTCCCCCACCACAGCTTCGTCGTCGTCGCAAAGCGCGCCTGACTTATAAACGCGCGCCACCGACACCATCGCCGTCTTCCATGTCCCTGTCGGTGGCGCTGCCAGTACTGCATGCAGCTGCCTTAACGACAGGTGTGGGGGCGGCGACTAACGGCAACAGTAGCGGTGGCACGGCTGCACTTTCACCCACTTTTGGCGTGGGCGGCGAATCACTGCCCAGCCCAACAAGCGATCGCGTCGAATGGTCACGTTCCACCATACTTGATTTCATCGAGGATTACCGTATGCATCGTGTACTTTGGGATCCCAACACTAAAGGTTATCACATCAAGCAAACCAAGTATGAGGCACTGAAATTGCTGGGCAACAAATATGGCACTGAAATACGCTCGATACGCAGTAAAATAAAAAGTTTACGTTCGTCATTTCATCGCGAACATGGCAAGGTGATGATCGGCAGGCAAAAAGGTGTCCACTACCAGCCCATGTGGTTTGCATACGACGCCATACGTTTCATACTTGACGGTGAGGGTGGGAACGGAGGAGGCAGTGGCAATGGTGGCGCAGCAGCGCGCGGCCAACACGCGCAAACTTCGGTGATCGGTGCGGAGGGCGAAGTTGACGAAGTGGAAGAGAAACTCACATTATTACGCGACGATAGCGTAGACGGTGGCGGCGGTGATGACGGTGTGGACGGCGTTCGTACGGAGAGTGGCGAAATGGATGATAAATATGCGACAACGATGGAGGCAGCAGTGCGCGCTATACAAGCAGCGGCGCTGGCTGGTGCGCGAGAGAGTGGCGGTGGCGGCGCAGTGACGTCCAGAGCGAATGCAGCGGCAGTGGCGGGCACCACTGTCGATGAGTTGAAAGTCGAACCACAAGCCACAAATGTAACAGCAGCGGCGGCAACAGTGAATACTACAAAAGCAACAGCAACAAATGTGCCCGGGGCACTACATTCTCAACTGCCAGCCACTGTGGTATATGGCATAAAACCAGCCGCTACGACTACTTTGGTCAATAGCCAGCTGTTTAATGCATCATGTGGAGCAGCAGCAACTCCTACGTCAACAACAACAACAAATGTAACCACAGTAGCGGGTGAATCGCTTAGTACCACGGCAATTGCCGCGACCTCTACGAATAGTGCGGCCTCAACGGGCGCATCTTCAGTAATACCAACAACTACATCAGCGTTATTGCCACATTGTGTCAACAACAATAATAAACTACTTGCCAATGGCAGTAGCAACAACAATAAAAACAGCAATAATATAAACGTTAGCAACGCAATGGCCATGATGACAATGACGACGCCAGCGTTGACAATTATCGGCAGCGCTGGTCTGGCAATGGGCCTTGGCAGCCTGGCGACAATGACGACAGCTGGCGGCGCAGGTAATCTAAATGGTGTGCTCGGTGGTGGTAGCGCAACAGTTGGTGGCACAACAATGTCGCACGCGTTCGGCGCTACAACACCGCTGCACAATACTGCCGCCAACGCGGATGGCGACGATTCGACAGTCGCAAGCAACAGTTTGGTGGCGCGTGTGGCTGCAGCTGTGGCGGCAGCAGCAGCCGCTAATGCCGCCGCCGCAGCCAATGCAAATCGGAATGCCGTTATCGGTATAGACGAACAACAACTAGCGGCGGTAAGTAGACGCATATATTCATATACTTATATATATTTACATGCATATATATAATACATATATATATGTACATATATATACATATATAATTTTTTTTAAATAAAAGTATGTACGCGCTGATATAGCGCGGCTGATGGAGCGGCGCAGAGACAGTTAATTTTTACTACTGCTGCCATTAGCTGGTGTCGCGCTGTTGCCGAAACTCCTACTGTTATTTTGTGGTGGTTTATTCAGTCTATCGATATTCCATTCTGTTTGTTTATTTCATTTTTCTTATATTTGTCTACATTTTTTTTCCATTATTTTTGCGTTTTGCGTTCTCTGCGCTGACTTTCGTCAGCATGTCTAACTGTGTACACATTTCTGTGCATACTTCTTTACACATATATAAATACATACTGCGTACATACATAAGTAGTGCCATATAAGCATTTGTTGTTGGCTTTTTATTAGTGGTTTGACTTGTTGGTATTATGCTGATGAGTTGTGCGCCGAAGGTGTGAGACGTCAGTTAACGTCCGCCGTGCGTGTAGATATTTGAGCGTACGTATGTATGTGTGTATGCATATATTTCAGCGATAAGGTATGTGTATTTCGTGCCTTGTGCTTCGTTGCCGTCGTGCGTTGAGCGTTGAGCGCAGCGAGTACGGCTTACCTTATTGCGCTGCAATGTTGGAGCATGAAGCTTTGTCACCACAGCTCCTGCTTTTCGGTGCCATATGATTCGTTATTCATTTTGCATTTTTGTTGTAGTGTTAACTGTCGTCGTAAAATGCATAAAGAGCGGAGACGCGTAATTCAGCGACACATTATAAACAACCCACTGAGAAGTTAATTATTGATTTGTTTCGCTTAGTAATCGGTGATTACGGATTTGTTTAGTAAAAATTGTTTTAATGAAGCTTTGCTCTAAAAAAAAAGTTACGGGAAATTTTCGTGTTAGAAATTTTTATTTTATAAAGCGCTTTGTCTTTAATTTTTAAACATATTTTTTAATAATTTATATACCAGAAAATTTGTATAATTAATAAATATATAAAATAAATAAGTATGTCTGATCGTTTGGTGGTTCCTAGATATTTGACTAAGTTTTTTCTACTAATAAATGTTGTTCGACATTACTACAATCCACCCATGAATAGTTCTCGAACCCTTAAGTCACCTAAACAACTTAGATACATTTTTATTAGAAGCTTATTTAGATCCAAAATATGATTGGTGGTTGAACATTGTGCGCTAAGAATGCCTCGTATTAGAAATAAAATTTTTAAATTTTGTATAGTTTACTCAGACAATTAACTTACTATTATTAAATAATTTACTTTCTACAAGTACAAAAACAACTCTTACAGAAATATTTAAAAGAAAAGTGAATTCGATTTTTATTTATTCTCTCAATTGTGTTTGGATGGAGGTGTGCAGACACAGTATCAAATTCCTACAGGGAATTTAAAAAGTGATTTACAAACGAGCTACGCGGCATTCGCTGCCAACAAAAATAGCAACGTTGGCGTTGGCAGCGCTCTGACTGCGGTTGCTGATAAGCTCACAGCAACAAATGTGCTTTACTCTTAATACGAAAGTGTGTGTGTGTGTGTGTGTTTAAATTATTAACTGTATGCGTGCAAATAATTCTCGGTAAAGCTGATGCAACAACAGCTACAATAATGACTGCAACAATAATATTAACAACAACAACAACAAACAGCATTGGCATGCGAGCACTGCGCTGTTGAACTTGTAGCCACAATCAGTGTTTTTGTTATTTTAATTTCGTACAAAATTTCTGTATTAATATGCATGACATTGTGGCTTGTGCTGTGCTGTGCTGTGCCTGTGCCTGCTCGTTTCATTGTTGTTGTTGTTGCAACAGCTAATACTTTAGTGTTGTGCACAAAGCAACACACAACAAAAGCTTTTATATTTCGCTTTTTGCTTAGCTGTTAGAGTGCCAGAGCTTGTTGACATGTTCGACTGGTTTTCACTTGCAGGCGCGATCCACGGGCGCAGCGGGCGCGGCGGGTGCTGGAGCTGGCGTTGGCGCTGCCAATACCACTGCAACAACGGCCACAGATTACGAAGCCGATATACAAAGCTTTTGTTGCAACATCAGCGCAGACGATGTGAAAACCGAAATAGTAAGTTCGCCTTCAGGCAGCGATTTCTCCGCTCAGCCTACCCAACTAATGACTAATGCATAAATTTCACTCATTTTTTCACCCTTTTCTTCGTCGCACTATGCTTACAGATTGAAGGCGACACGAATGAACTAGTCATGCTCGAACAACAACAACAACAGCAGCAGCAGCAACAGCAACAAACGCAACACCCACGTTCGTGCAGCGTCACCCCACTGACAGCTTCTGCGGTCAATTATTATAATTTGCCACCGATGGCGGAATTGCCAATGTCTTCCAGCGTTGGTGGGCGTAAACGTAAGCTGCTTAGCTTACACGCTGATGTGGCCTCGCCGTCCAAAAAGTCCGCATTAGCGCTGCAACAACACTTACAGCAACAGATACAATTGCAACATCAACAGCAACAGCAACAACAACAAACACAGACCCAACATTCCAACGCACAAGCGAGCTCCAAGCAGCGCGATCGTGAGCTATTAGCCGCCAGCGCTGGTGGCGCAGTCACTTTCGCCGCCGTGGCCAATATTCATAGTCAAAGTCAAAGTAGCAACAATAACAACAGCGGCAATAATGGCAACAGCACTGGTAGCAGCAGCAGCTTGCATAATCATAGTTCCAATCAAAATCCAAAGGCCAACACTAACAACAACAACAACGCCAGCAGCAGCAGTAGCAATAGTGGCAGCCACAACAACAACAATAACACTAATATGCAATCGCTGAACGATGAGTATGGCGTATTTGGCGAGTATGTAGCCATAACCATACGCAAACTAAAGACGCCGAAATCAAAGATTGTCATAAAGCATCTCATCAACAACTTATTGTACGAGGCCGAAATGGGCAAGTACGATCACGGCATGCCATCGTCCAAAGAACCACCGCAATTGTATAAGATGTGATGTAAGGACGCCAGGTTGAACGCGCCGCACTTGGCTCCAACAACAACTGTTCCGCCTTGGTGCAGCACAACCACATGCCACGACGCTGTCAAGCTGGAAGCGTTGTCGGACATTAAAGCAGACCATGTATGCTGTAGTGGTATATGCGATCAACGTGCGTACGGTTGCGGGGTTCACTGTTGTGGTCGGCAAACACCTGGACACTAGTCATAGTTGAAGCAAAGCAATCTAATGCAGAGTAAACCAGAGCCAAATATGGCGTAAAGTGAAGTGAAGTGTCGGAAAGTGAAGCAAAAAACATGAAGAAGCAAAAGTAGTAGTAGAAAGCAAAGCAAAGTGATGTTTTCAAAAAAAATGAATTGAAACGAAATGAAGTGCAAGTTATAATGAATTAGCAATGTTAAGCGGAATTGTAGCAAAGTAGAAGTGAAATGCGTTTAAATCAGGGAATAAAAAAGAAACAATGTGAATTTCAAACAAAAAATAAATAAATATATATGTATATATATATATATAAACATATGTGAATATATATATAAAAGAAACAGTACATATGAACATGCTTATGTATATATAATATAAACTTAAACATAAACAAATATACTTGTAGAACAAAGAATATAAGTGAGAAATAGTTAAAGCTTTTAGCAAAATGGGGAATGCATAACTGAATCGTTAGGTAAGGGAAGACGTACAGAATTGGCTGCAACGGGAGAACAAGTTAAACACACACACACAGACACACAACAACATACCATACAATTTTACTACTTTATATACATTAAACTCAGGTGCCTTTTTGATAGTCAAATAAGTTGTTATTAAATATATACTTTATTGTATTTATCTTTATATAAAAAAAAATATATATATACATACATATATAACTTAATGTGTATAGAAAAAATATTCATATGTACATATATGATTTAAAAACAAAACAAGAAACTTTGCAAGCAAACAAATTGCAATAATGAAAATTTATTTACTAAATGAATTGATAAAGAGAAAACTACTTAATTTTAACTTTATATTTTATTTTACTTTACTTACAATATTTGTACAGAATGTACCTTTTAAATTGAAATGTTGAAAAATGCTAAATAAAGTAACATGAAGTTGAAATGTGTGGAGTTTTTGACATTAAAAACAAGAAAAAAAACTGTAAAAAGCTGTAATGCCGTTCAGAGGTGCATATTTTTTATAGCTTAGAAGAATTTGAATCTAATCTATCTTGAATTTGTTCGTTCAGTTTGTATGGCAGCTTTATATTAAAAAGGTCTAATCTAAACAATATATGCCGAGATTGTACCGTTGACTTGGACAATAATACACTATACACAATAACACCAATTTCGTGAAGATATCTTGTCAAATAAAAATATTTTCCTTACAAGAATTTAATTTAGATCGGTTAGTTTACATGGCAGTCATATGATACAATGCACCGATATCGGGAATGCCGACAAATGAGCAGCTGCTTGAAGAGAAAAGAACGTGTGCAAAATTTCAGATCGATATTTATAAAACTGAGGAACTAGGTTGCGTATATACAGACAGACAGACGGATAAGACTAAATCGACTCGGCACGTCACGCTGATCATTTATATATACATGTTTCCGTTTACACCGTTGGCTGTTACAAACTTCGTGGCAAATTTAATATACCCAGTTTAAAATGACTTTAGAACTTTCCGACTTTCCAACAACAAAACATAAGCGTTAACTATGGTAGAATGAAAATGAAGGTGTTAAAATTAAGTTAATTTAATTAAATTAAGTTAATTGAAGGAAAAAATTAAATATTTAGTAAATATATCATAAATCCTGTTTATACAAGTGTTTGAAGCACTCACTAAATATTTTTTAAACATGCTGGCAACTCGCGCCAAGCACTATTTTAACATGCCAACGGTTTGTGGTGGCGACAAAGCTTTTTTGTTGCATACCTCATCACTGACGCATCCCAAATATTAGTCATATTAAAAACAACAACATATGTGAAATTTATAATTTCGACAACAATCGCGATTTTGCTCAACTAGCGTATATTCTAAAATGATTAAAGCCGTAGAAACTCATTTTGTTTGCATTTCAATGAAATTAAAAGAGAGAAAGCTTGCACAAACTTAATACTTTTTAGCTTTTATGAAAAACACATTTTCCACTTCAATATTTTCAGCTACGATTAAATATTGCATGCCAAAAGTGTTTCGTGTTGGCATGCCCCGCCTATTTTTCAAGTATAAATTTTCATTTCTTAACTTCGGCAAGCAAAGTTTTAATGAATTAAAATAATACTGAAGCTTTCAAGAGAATTTCGCTTTTAATTGAGCGCTACCAGTAATTATACGAGTAATATCACATATCTCGAAGAAAAGTAAAAATTATTGCATAGCTCAGTCGACAATAAAATGCCCACTGATTGAAGGCGCTGCATTTTAAATAATTACGCAAGTTGGCTATATGATTATGAAAGCAAATATAACTGGTCGTATATACATACACATGTAATGCAGTGCACACATTTTCATATATGTACATATGTATGTATGTAATAAAAATTAATTATTTACAAAACAGGAAATTCTTATGAAGGATGTGGAAATGAGTACAAGAAACGACAGCAATACTAGCAAATAATGACCGTAATAATTGCAACCCTTCAGCATATAAGACAAATGTACATACACACATATGTATGTATGCATGGTATGTGGATATGAATAGCTCAAGCTGACATGGCGAATGCGAATGAAGCAAATAAAAAGGTGGTGAATGCAAAATGGCAACGGTATGGTGCTAAAGGAGTTCCACAGTAATATAAAGAATATTAATTTTTATGCGTGTTTGCTAACATATAACATAAAAATGTTTATATGTGTGGACCACAGCCACCCTACAAGAAACTGCTAATGGGTTCACCAATACACTTACATTTGTTATGTCTATACTGACGGTCAATTTACACGGCAATTGACCGTCACTGTTATTGTTAAAAAGAGACCCTTACGTTTTATATTGCTTACTATAGCTTTACATATGTAAGCATGAAATAGCTGTATTCTTTAGTACTGTCAACACTGACAGTCAAATGAACAGTAAAATGACTGTCAATGCTTACGATTTTTCCAAAACGAAATTCTATATACATATGTCGTAAAAAACAGCATAAGTACATTTCCGTAGAAGTTTCGAGAAATTATGAAATACCTATGTAGCTGTTCCGTGCCATAAACCAAATGTTTTGCATGCTCTTGTGCAAAAAAACTTTTTGTGTTAAAAAAATAAATAAATAACGAGGGAGTTTTCAATTATAATATACGTAAGTTAGTATTATATTTCAAAAAAAAATTTTATTTTTAGTTAATTTTCATTTTTCTTTAGGCATTTTTAAATTCAGAAATATCCATGAGCTGTAGAAATGCGTACAGCAAAGCTTTTGAGAGGAGCAAGCATGAAATCAAGTGCAAATTTATTTTCATAATTTATTAATTAATTATATTTTTGTTGCACTTCTTTTTTATATTTATATATTTTATATTTTATATATAAAATGATAGAAACTTTGTTTTGCGCGCTGACAAAATGTGTTCAGCTGTGGCTGTCATATTACCGGTCAGATGACTACCACTGTTCTTGTAGGGCAGTGCCCTGTGTGTGGAGATGCCTTTCTGCTGCCATTTCCCGTGTACATCCGGTTCCGGTCATTAAAATAAGGTAAAACTCAGACTTGCGCTGGCGTGAATATAAATAAACACATTGCAGGAAGCAACACACACAAACAAATGAGTGAGTGTATGTAAGTAAATCTAAATTTAAGCATACGCCAAGCGAAACATCAACGCCTGTTAGGCTTAAGATGTATGCCTACGAATACATTTACACGCAAGCAAGTGTGGGTCCCATGTGCGAGGTGATAAAAATAAAAGCACCGTATAAAATAAAAATGTATGAAAATTTGTCAATAAAATTGAAGTAATTTCAACAATGCCGTTGAATGTTGAATTGTTCGTAAGCTCACAAAATTCTATGTGCATATGTGTGTATTTACATGGCCGCAAAACCCTTTTTATGGACAGGGACAATTGACCCATTTCTACAACAAAATATCTCCGGCAAGGTTACGTCTCGTATAGGCATACAAACATGTGTGTACACATGTGTACAATATATTTATATGTGTAAATTTGTAAACATGTTTCAAAAATTCATTAAGTTTTAAACGCTATGTTAGATATTTATTTAACTTTACACAACAACAATAAACGTTGGCATTTTAATACCTTTCACAGCTGCCAATTAACTTTTCCATCATAAAAATTGCACAAAATCCGTATAAATTGTCATTTTAGATTGCAATGTCTGAAAATAACTGCGTGCGTGCCATTGTCGGGCCAGAAATGCTCGTAAAATTACTGTGATAACACATGCATATTCATGTATTTTTATGAGCTTGAAGTTAGCAAGTGGAAAATTGATGCACTGGCTGAAGGATATTTTCGTGCATAAAATGCTCAATGAAATTCGAATGAAAGTAGATATTCGAGCTTGTAATGTGAATTGTTATCACAATTTTGAACATATGACATATTTTTCTTCATATGTAGAGCGGATGTCTTGAACTTAGAAAAAAGTGTTAAATGAAAACCCATTTTGAAAAACTACAAACAAAATCTTTACAAGCAATGAAAAGCACTTATTAATAAGACTTTAATGATAAACTCTCTTGGTTCATATTTAATTTTAAGAGAATCTGTAATTTTTACTTAGTCGTGAAATTAGTCTTGCATGTAACTAATCATAATTTTGTCGCTTTTAAATCCAGATGCCAGATATACCGTAAATATCATCGTTTTTACATTGATCATTTCTATATGGAGTAAACACTGGGTTCTGCTAGAAATTCTCAAGCAATACCTAATATCCCACAGTTTAGAAACCAGAAATATATACATATATAAAGAACATTTTTAAATACTCACAAGCCCTTTTTAGGGTCACTAAGAGAATAGAATGCGTTCTTTATCTAGAAAAGAATCGTATATGTTAAATAATTTAACTGTATTTAGTAAATACAAGAAAAAACGTTAATTTTAGCTACACCGAAGCTATAATACCCTTCACAGGTGTATTTTTTATAGCATAAAAAGATCTTTATCTTGATTTTGATCGGTAAGTTTATATGACAGCTATATGGTATAGTGGTCCGATCTAAACAGTTTATTCGGAGATTACATTTTCGCTTTAGATAATAATCTATGTCAAATTTCGGGAAGATATCTCGTCAAATAAAAAAGTTTTCTATATAAGCAGTGGATTCCGCTCGTTCATTTTATATGGCGGCTATATGCTATAGTGATCCGACATGAGCAGTTAAAACAAATGAGCAGCTTCTTGGAGAGAAATGGTCGTGTACAAAATTTCTGGTCAATATCTCAAAAACTGAAGGACTAGTTCGCATATATACAAACAGACAGACAGACGGACATGGCTAAATCGAGTCAGCTCGTCATCCTGATCTTTTTTTTATATACTTTGTGGGGTCTCCGACGTTTCTTTTTGGCTGTTACAAACTTCGTGACAAACTTAATATACCCTGTTTAAGGTATATAAATCGGCGGCAATGTATTTCTTGCACAAGTTTTCTTAAAAAATTGTCATTTCTACAACTCTCCCACTTTTATTGAAAGTAACTGTGTAACTTTGTTCTTTATGAATAGAAATGTTGGAAAACAAATCTGTGGCTATCATTAACAGAGTGCATTTTAGCATAAATTCCCATAAAACTTCGACAATTAACTCAAACCCTACAAACCAATACTGTTTCAAATACTTTTATGCAAAGATGCGTAAATTTTTTCAACTACATACAGAGATGCTTATGAATGCTAGTTTACCACTAGATATTACTAACTGAATTCAAACTAGACTGAAAAATACTAGTCTGCTACTAATACTTTCCAAATGAAATTAAGCCCATTTGCAGAAGGCTTGATTTGGATCAAATATAAAACGATTTATTTTGCCTTGTACAGAAGATAACGTTTAAGACACTGTTAAGTGTATATGTTAATAAATGATTATCGTGGCGCGCAGTGTCGATATAGTTGTGCC